TGTCACCCTCTCTGACAGTGTCACGTGCAGTGGCCCATGCCCCCTGCACCCACACAAGGACACCACAGGATGAGCTGTGTCTCTGGAGTGTGCTCCAGCTGCAGCCAGTGGCATTGGGCAAGATGACAGGCCAGCACAGAAAAGTCCATGAGAAGTCAAGGACCAGGTCACCTTCATTGAGTCACATGGTGGCCACCTCAGAGAGGACATTGCTTATCTTTCTACAGCAGAGCAGCTGGGGAGATTCAAACTGTGCACCTTTGGGGTGACAGCACAATTCCTTACCACTAAACCACCCAAGCTCCCTCACTACATATTGTCGTTGTTATGTTGTTAGGTGCCATTGAATCGAGTATGACTTATAGTGACCCAATAAACAACAGCTCCAAATCCCATCTTATCCTGTGCCAGCCTCATTATTTCTGACATACTCAAGTCCGTTGCTGCAATCGCTGTGTCAGTTTATCTGCCTGAGGATTTCCTCTCTTTTACTGATCCTCCCAAAGTGTGGAGAAGACGTGACTCCTCCACCGAAGTACATAACGAGCGTACACCCTCATTTTTAGGAGCGTTCTGGCTGTTCCTTGGAGTGGACATCATGCTTGGACAGGTGGTCACTGCACATATTAGCAAGTGCATATTAATATAAGTGAACCTGGCTTCTCTCTCATTGTTGTGCCTTTTTAAAATTTTTATTATTTTTTTTATGTGTACCGTCAAATCGGACCTGACTGGTACAGGAGGAGATTGTCCCTCCTTCTCCAGCAGAGCATCTGATAGATTTGAGCCACTCACCTCTGGGATTGCAGTGCAGCTTCTTGCCACTAGGCCACCAGAGCTCCCTTTCTCATTGTTGTTTTTATGTTCTGTCGAGTTGACTCCGACTCATAGCGACGCTATGTACAACAGCTCTGAACCCTTCTCTATCCTGAGCCAACCTCATTGTCTCTGACATACCTGCCGCCGTTACCCAGTCACTGAATCAGTCCATCTCGTTCAGGGTCTTCCTCTCCTGCACTGACCCTCCACCCTTCCAAGCGTAGTATCCCTCTTCAAGGACTGGCCTCTCCTCGCCACATGCCCAAAGTATGTCAGATGGAGCTTCAGAATCCTTGCTTTCAAGGAGCAGCCTGGTTTCACCCTCTCCAGGGTGGTCCTGTTTGTTCTCTTAGCAGTCCGTGTTATATTCAGTACCCATTGCTTATAGGTAATAGCCCTGAGTATCACACTTAATGGGTAATCTGCACTGAACCCACGCCCAGATCCTAAAGATTACAGGTTTGTAGTCCCACTGGCTGAGGAAAGCTTTGGAAAGGGGGGATGTAGCCACAGCCCCTGGAGGTGGGAGGGTCTGCTGAGGGTGCGCTGTCCTGGTTGCAGGTGTTGCAGCTGCAGCAGGCGCTGGAGCAGAGGGCCAGTGCCCACCGGGAGGACCTGCAGGAGCTCAGGCAGCTCTCGGAGCAGGAACGGGAGAGGCTGCAACAGGAGCTCCAGGAGAGCGCCCAGCGCAACCAGACCCTGAAGGCCCAGCTCGAGGCCTCCCACCAGCGAGCCCTGCGGGTGCTCGAGAAGGCCAAAAATCAGGAGCTCAAGGTAAGGCCATGTCGTCATTGCCTAGGGCTCCATAACTGGAGGCTCAGTGGTGGGATTCTCCTCTTCCACTGGGCGGAGACCTGGGTTAGACTCCAAGTGAGTACGCCTCTGTGGTGCTCCATGGTGTAATGCTTTACATGTTGGGTTGTTAACAGAGAGGTTGATGGTTCAAATCCTCCTGTTGCTCTTTAGGGGAAAGAAAGATGGACCGTCTCTACCCATGGAGATTTAGAGCCTTGGAAACCCAGTACGTGGTCACCATGAGTCAGACTCAACTCTCAGTATTAGTGAGTTGGGGGTATGATGCTGGGGAAGTTTCATCGCAGCTTCCAGATAAAGACAGACAAGTGTGATGATCTCCTTCTGAAAGTCAGCCAGTGGAGACCCTCTCATGGACCAACACAGGTCACCCTCCACTGTGCAGGGGATCCCAGTGAGTCAAGTTCAGTGACACTAACAACCACCGTCACAGGACAAAATATCACAGGGTGGATGAATTAGT